TCTGGGCCTACCGCATGCCGTGCGAGCCTTTGCTGTACCACGCCTTCCTCGCCATCGCGCGCGGGGATGGGCGAGGCGGGGAGGGGAAAGTGGACGCCTTGCGGCGGGTGGCGCGGCTTTTGAAGGCCTCCGGCTTCGCCCTGTACGGGCTGCCCTGGGTGAAAACCCTCCTGGTGGAGTGCCTTTTGCACGAGCGCTGCTTTACCGAGGCGGCGGAGGTTTTGGGCGACTTGGACGATCGCGAGATCACGCCGCGGCTGTGGCGGCTTGTGGTCGAGGCCGCCGCGCAAGGTGGGATGCCCAATTCCGCCCTTTTAGATCGTTTTTTGAATATTTTCACGCACAACGACGCCGTCCCTATGACATCGGGCGAGTTTAGCGGGGTAAAGGATTCCGATAAGCCCATGCAGACGGCGGATGCGCGAACTCAGCCGACCGCCTTGGCATCCTGTCAGAATAGCCTCTCAACCGAAATTTATGCACAAGAGCGTGGCGAGGCTCACCTTGAGGCGCGAAAGAAGGACCAGGGGGCCGCCATTTCGCCCGCCGCGGTCCCACGCGAGACCCCACTGAGCCTATTTGAGGTTCGATCCGCCGCGCTGGGGTTGATTCCCCCTTCCCTGGCGCGTGAGCCTCCGCGGACGAAGCCCGCGAAGGATTCTTCGCCCAGAAAAGGCCTCACCCCCCCCGACCCCGTCGACGCTGCCTTTTCCGATGACCATCTCGCCCAACCGTCTCTTTCCCACGCGGCACCGGCGGGGAGGCTGCAATGGTGCCCCCTGACGACGACCGACGTGGGCTATGCCCTGGAGCACTACGGCAATCTGGAAACGGCGGCGGCGGGGGATAATCGCGGGGCCGCGTGCGGGTTTGGCAGTATTTTCCCCCATTCGAACCTCCCGGCGCTTTTGCGGGACGTGGGAGGGGAAGGCGATCGTGAGGGCCACTCGCCTTCCACCGCCTCGGCGGGGAGTTCGCTGGTCGAGCAGGAGGAGGCGGTGGCGATGTTAATGCAGTCCCGTGGGGTGGTTTTCGGCCTGGATTATTTAACCGCGGCGCAGTTGATTTTGAGGGTTGGGATTATGTTCGGCTGGCATGCCTCGCCTTTGTTGGGGTTGAATATTTTGCGCCGCTACGTGCGGACGTGCCGTCTTTTACGCCTGGAGGCGGCCTCTTTGCGGGCGAAATGTCGGCAGGATATCGCAGCCCTGCAGCAATGGATGACAAACGCGGCGAAGGATCGCGACGTGGCTTCTCCAGACCCGCCCAAGCAAACGGCGAGCGCGAACGAGGCGGGGAAGCAAATCATCCCTTCGGGCATCCACGAGGAGGATCCCGGTTCCCCTGGGTTTCCAGACGCCGCCCTACTACGTCCTAAACCCTTTCTCGCGTTTTTTCATATTTTGCGCGAGGCGCGGGATGTGCTTTCGACCGCTCCGGACGTCTCGTCCTCCTTGTTTAACGCGGATTTTTCCGTTGGCGATCGCGTGGGCGCGACTAACGCCGAGGCCGGACGCGAATCGGCGTCTTCGCCTCCGCGGCCCGAGGGCCTGCAAGCGCGTTTAGTGTCATCCGATGGCAGCCGTACGATGTCCGCGCTGCCGATGATGCACTGGGAGGTTGCCTGGCATTATTTCCAGCTCCTCAATCGCGAGAACCCGTCCTGGCATAGCCAATTCCCCGAGGATGCGGGGGATTTATGCCTGGCCCTGCTGGAGCTGCTTTGCCGAGGGGCGAATCCGTGGCTGAGCCTCAATTGCGCGCGCGCGGTCGCGGCGCGGCGGGTTCTCGACGGCGTCGACCTCGCCCTTTGGCTGGTTTTCCACCTCGACCCCTCGCACCACCCGACGGAGAACCGCGCGATCACGCGGCAGATCTTTCGATGGCTCCTCGTGGACGTCGGGCTGCATTTGCAGCCTCGCCTGCACCCGCAGCTTCTGTCCATCGCGCGGGTGCTGATTCGAAGTGGGATGCCGGAGGAGCTGACGGCGTTGTATAACGCCGTGTTGGACAACGCGTACGTCTTTTCCCCGGCCTTCCGCGCCGCGTTTGTGCGGGTGGTGGGGGACTTCGTCTGCCCCGCCTGCAGCGCGGTCGTGGCGGGGACGACGGGGGTCTGCGCGAATTGCCTGGCGGCGATCCCGCCGAGGGCGCCGGGCGGGGCAGGGGCGGGCTTTCACCTCGCGGCCGACCACGCGGCGTGGCTGCGC